CAGCAAGACAAGGGACACCAGGAGCAAAGCCGCAGCGGCGGCAGAGACCCGCACCTCCCCAGCTTTGCCAGAGCAAAGCCTCAGAGGCGCAGGACCCCTCCACCTCCCCGGCTTTGCTCCAGGTGTCCCTGGTCTGCTGGAGACGGTCCCTAGCAGACCAGGGGCACCCGGAGCAGCTTTTCTCACCCCGGAGGTCGAGGTGGCGGGACCGCTGCGCTCTGGGCGGTCCTGCTGCCTGCGAGCTCCGGGGCGAGAAAGCCCCGTTCGTAAGTGCGGATCTGACATAAGTCGGATCCGCGTAACTCGGGGACTGCCTGTAAAGTGCCATAAGTCTTGCCTGAAATTCTTAAATACTGAGGATGGCAATCTCTGGCAATGTCTTGCCTTTGGGATCAGATCTTCCAAAGTAATATATAGTCAATTTGCAAAATTAAATTATTTCAGTGTTCTTGAAAGCAGCACACATTGTTTAGCACACCAGTGTCTATGGTAAGCACCCTTCATGGAACTTTATCAGTGTGACTGTCACTAGCATTTTGAAATCTGTATACACGCCTCAGCTAATCTGTCACTTTCTGCCCACAATGTATCCATGAGATCCCAAGCCAGACACACTGTTACATACAATTTGATCACTACATGCAGCAAATGCAGTTTGGAACAAATACTGCTAAGAGACTTGATGAAGAACAATATAAATCTTCCAATGCACCAAAAATATTGCCCTAGGAAAATGAAAACACTATACTCTAATGTTACTAGTGTACATATCATTGGCCAAACTTTGCTCCTGTTTACATCAATGAGAGTTTTAATATACAATAAGGTTTAGATTAAAAAAAATTGGTACTATTTACTTACTTCTTCATCAAGAATATTGGGAGGATTAATTATTTGATCTTAATATAAGGCAACAAAAATGAAAACATTTAATAAATTTAAATTGAAGTACAAAATAGTCTATTTCTCCTTTGTTTAATAAAGGTCTGAAATAATTATCCAGACAGACAAAGAATAGCCACCCTGAAACTTGGTAAACCTACACAGCACAATACCTAGATACATTTTCAAACAGCAATTTAAACAGCCAGAAATACGATTCAGCATCCTATCAGTGTGGACACGCTATTTTGAAATGCATTTTGTGTCTAGATGCGTTATTTCAAAATAAGTTATTCCTCTACATTTGCTGGAATAGGGTCTAAGATAGATTTTTCCTGTCATCTATACCATAATCTCTACCAGACTTTGAATAAGGCACTCAGCAACATCCATTGGATGGGGTAGAGCAAAGCTGGTTATGTGCATCTGAAAACACAGTCTCTGCCTAGTTATTCCCCTCATTACAGATAGAATCCTGCTGCACCCCATATCTGAGATTCCTAGGCCAAGCAAAGCTATTGCCAACAAATGAAGTCTAATCTCTTTCTCTCTGTGAGATAAAAGTTTGAATTTACAAAAGAATCAAAACCATCCACTGCTGCTAGTGTTTGTATGTGAGTCAACAACATCCCATGATTAATGATATTGAAGGCAGCTGGTAGATCTAGTGATCTGATCACAGACACTTGATTTGATCCATTACCAGGAGGAGATCACTAACCAATATTATCAATCTCCTGGGCAAACAGAAGTTTCTACACAGATTGAGAAGGGTTCAGGAGACCTGTAGAGTCTAGATGCTATGAGACAATCCTCCTCACAACTCTTGCTATATTATTATTCAAAAATTTAAGACTGGATGGTGGGCAGTAATTATTATGATTTTTTCACAAAAGGCTACATCACTGCTTCCTTCTAAGTGTTAGGCAATTTGCCCTTCTTAAGAGGCATTAATTTCTACCAGGGATGGACTTAATACTTCTCAACTGGCCCTCCCCAGTTGGGAATAAAATTGGATCTTAATTAGAGATCTAGCACAAAGTTCTTCAACATCTAGGGTACTTCTAAGCAACACTGTCCTTAACTGAGTTTGCCATCTGGGATACATCCTTGTCCTCACAAATGCAAATGCATTGCTCTGGATCAGATTACTTATATTTGCAAAACAATACATTTAATCACCAAATGTAGGGCTCAGACCAGCCATTGAGAATAGACAGTCCAGATTAGTTCAATTGACTCTGAAATTTGATAGAAGCTAAAACCATTCTTTTGCATCTCTTATAGCCATGGCATAAGCATTTTAAAAACCTTTTTGAAGCTTTTACCCAAGACTTTCACCATGGGCACTCTGTCACTTCATTTGTCAGAGGTGATTCATAAACCAAAGAAAGCAGTAAGAGTGAACCTGGGGAAGAGAACATCAAGGAGACACATTAGGAGGGGAGGCCAAAAGGCTATTAAAATATCCTGTGGACAGAGCCATGCTTTGCAAAAACAACATTTTTCCTCAGAGCTCTTCAAAAAACTGCTTGATTTTCATTTAGAACAGTATTGCTTAGATGTACTTCAGATAGACCACCAAACAGGGCCTTCATTATGACAGGAGAGAAGTGCTATAAGCACAAGGTTGGGAGAGAATGAATATTCAGCCCATGATACAGGTATAATTTCCACCTGACACAAACACAACCACCAGAGCATGACTTACTTTATGCAGGAGCTTGCAACAAGCTAGAATATTTCAAGGCCATCATGGTTGTCATGAAGTCCTCAGCTGACTCAGGGACTTCGTCATCTATGTGAATGCTGACTTCAATAAGAACGATCAGCCTCAGAGGTTCCAGAACCATAGTAGTCAGGAATTTCATCAGTTCCCACAGAACCTTTTCAGCAGGGTAATCAGGACAGGGATATGGGTCCTCTTTACCCCAGGACTCACATGGAAAATGAACACCTAGCTTATCTGGGCTCAATCTGCTCTATTACACAGCTATAACCTCTCCTCCCCCCAGTTTAATCATGTAACTGAAGGGAAAATGGAATCCTGCTTCAGGACCTGACCGTACAAGTCTTCTTCACATCAGTAGTCCTCCCTTGAACAAGTAGTCACAGAGAAGTCAATGTGAAATGACCCATTGACTTCAATAAAACTACATTCATGAGGGAGGATTTACTGAGGCATGAGTCCTTGCTATTTACATTGGTTATATTTTACCCTTTGGGTTCATTCCTCCATTAACTAGATCAGATACAAAGTGGACCAGTGAAGGACCTGACCTTTTGAATATTTATGTCTGTAACTTTCTTCTCATGAGGAGACCTAGTGATATCAGTAGAACTCCCATTTCTTGACCTAGGAGTGAGCAAATGCAGTATGCTTGTCTGCACTGAAAGACAAGCAAGGAGTGATTGACTCACATCATTCCAATAAGCATTTTATAGTTTCAAGACAGAAAGGGCAGTTTGGGCCTCGTAATATTTTACTTAGACAGCTGAGACTTAACATGTTGTAGCTGACCCACATTGCATACCTCAGAGCTCCCTGTGGGTCAGGAGGCCTGATAGACACTTATCTCACTCTGGGTTCCAGGAAAAGTAAGTTGAACACCACTCCAAACAAAACTGGGAGCTATTTGGTTCCTGGTCTAGGAGTTACCTGAAACTTCTCAGTGAGGAGCAGAAAATGTTCTACTTTGTGTTCTACTTTGACAAAGGGATAAGAGGAGAAA